CAACCACCAGTTTAAATGTCATATTTTTCTTTATACATATTACAATTGCAATATGGCACTGTCTCCCTTTTAAATAGTATCTGGTCACTCGTGTAGTCTCTTCACCGTGAAATACAGGATAAAAAGGCAGAGCATGTATTTTGATTGAATGTCTCTTAAAAGTTTGCATATGTGAAGTCATGGATAAAAGCATGTGGATATTACTGAAACCTCTGAGCAACAGAGCCAACTCCCGGTAACGTACCAAATTGGAGGACTGAACAGAAGCTTTTGAAGCTGATGTCCCTTGCAGGGGACTCCCTTTCAGGATTACTTAACAGGAGCTTTCAGGTCTGTTAACAGACCTCTTGTTCATAGCACCAATTCAGCTTCTCCATCCTCATTAATCTAGGAACTATACCTGCCCAGACCTTTAAAAAACAAAAGACGGTAGGATGCTGTCTGCTTTTCTTTTCTAGTGTTTCCCACCTTTACAGCAGAATCGGCAGAACAAAAGCCTCGCCCTATCTATTTTAGTATAAAATGCTGTCTTGGCATAAACCCATCTTCATCCACAAGTTAAGATGCCTCCTCTGCCTTATGCTCCTTGTGAGTGGGACCGGTGGCTGGTGATGGCAGTAGCAAATACCTGTCCTTGGATACTCTCCTTTGGACTAATAGGACTGTTGGTGACTGAACAGAAGGACTTGCGAATAACCAGCAAGTGACCAGAAGTCAGTCTTTGTTTTTAAATCCTTTTGGAAAGGAGACAGGGAGCAGCGGCAGTCTAGAGTGGATTTGATTCAGCTCGTAGATTTTATTCTCTGTTATGGATGGCAGCTTTGTACAGTATTTTATGGCACAGCATACTGTCTCATGAGGTTGCTGTAATTTCAGCAGAAATTCTTCTATCTGTGTGATGTGGTTTTTACTTTGTCTATAAATATAATAGCAAGAACTTCAGCTACATCATGGCCAGATTTGAAATGGCTCATCTTTTTTCAATTAGTTTATTCTTTTTATTGTCACGATTATTAATTTTCTCTTATGTGGAAAAAAGCTACATTATTTTAGGGAGTGTCCTTTACTTCTTGAATTCTTGCTGTAGTTCATTCTCTTTTGTTTCTGCTCTGACTTCTTCCAAAACGGTTCTGTGTTTTTCTTTTCTTATCTTTCTGCTCTAAGTAGTAAGTACCGCATTTTGGATTAAAAACCTCCACCAGTATTTGCATCTGTGATGTTACCGTTATATGACAATGTTATTGATTAAATGTCATTGCTCCTTAAGCTCCAAACAGTCTGATCTGTGGATATGAAAGACTGTGTTAGTTTTATCTTTTTAAGAAACCAGCCTTATTGTATGAATATGAATCGATTATTAGTTGCATTGAAAGGTTTTGACCTGAACAGGGAAAATGGAATTGCAGAAACAAATAAATTGGAGCCTCAAGATGGAATCAAGTCTTTAAATTTGAATTGTTGGATTCTTTGCAAGGAGAAATTTGATATTCTTTGTAAAGAGTACAATAAAATAAAATGCCAGTGATGATGACAAAGTTTCTAATGCATTTGTATCTTTGGTTTCCTGGAAAAATCATGGCAAAGGCACCAGCAGTCTGATTTCAGCAGTATTTCATATTCTGCGGTATCTCAAACTTCTTACAAGAAGCCTTCAAGTCAGTTTGTAGTGTGGAGATAGATGATAACGTCTGTCATGTTGTGGATGGGTCTAGCTGTCTTGCTTATACTAGTCTCCTTTGGCAAGATGATCAAGCTGACAGATTCAAAAAGTCAGAGGTCAGCAGGATTAATTAATAAGCACATCTGACCCCATAAATCATAGAGCATTATGTGTCATCCACTTAGTCAGGCATGGTGCTAAAGAAGTACAAAATGTGCATCTGAAAAAACATAATCTGGATTATAAGAAGTGAAAAGGTGGAATATTAAGCACATCTTTGGTTGTTCTGATGGTTAGCTCCCTTACAATTAAAACTTACTTCATTTTGAATGTGACTTTTGCCTTAACTTTGCAGCTGTTAATTTTGTTATACTATTAATTTTATTGTGCTTTTCTATGCTAAACTTTTAAAACAGCTAGTATTTTTTGATTATTTGAACAGTGGAGTCTTCATGTACACAGCTCAATCTTTTTAATATTCAAAGCAGTTTAGGTTCTTTGATTCATACTGTGAGAAATTTTCTCCTCCTTTCAAATAACTTCTGTGGCTCTTCTCTGTACCCTGTCCAATTTTTCAACATACTTTTAAAAATGTGGATACCGGAACAGGATGCAGCATTCCAGGGTCCCTTGCAAAGGTAAGATTACCGCCTTACACCTATCATGTCCATATGTCCAAAGGAATGTATAAGTGCTGCTTCTCCCTTTTTTTTGTCAGGGCATCACATCTTGAGGTGCTTGCCTACTGTAATTACTACGTTCTTCTGAGTTATTTCTTGGTTTTTATCTCCATTCTGTAGGTCATTCCTGTAGGTAGCAAATGTACTCTGGTAGTAAAATGCACAACTTGACCTTGGGTTGAACTAATTTTTTTTTAAATGTTAAAAAAATTATTGAAGAGCATAGCTGCCCTCTCCTCAGTACTTAGTTTCAGCATTCTTGGTAACATACGTGTGTTTACTCTACAGACATGATGAAACTGTTGAATACTGTTGAGCCTGTTGTCTGTTGTGACATATAGTGAGACTTCCCCTCTAGTGAAAAAAGGTTTGTGCAGATGAGAACCACAGCTCTTGTTGGCAACCCCAGAAGCACAGTTAGAGCTGCTGAACTCAGAGTTGCAGAGGGAGGGTACTTGGAGAAATTGTGAAATGCCATTTATTTTCCAATATCTGTTTCTTAAATTTGTCTTTGTAAGGCAAGAAATTATATAATTAAAATTGCAATAACTGTTTACTAAAATTCCAATGTTGTTTGATGCTATAAGTACCAGATAACATTTATCTCAGTGAGCTTGAATAGAGATAAAAAGTGTCTCTCTAGTTATACACTGGCAGGTGGAAAGATGGTAGGAGGTTCTGAGACCCACGATTTGCTTTTGTTTCCTTGCTATTTGGTAAGACAGTTTGGGTCTTACTGAGCTTGTGAAATCTGAACACACGGGTGGAAATAGCGATGAGTGGTGGAAGCCTCTCAGATTTCTTGGGAAAGTGCCCCTTTCAGATGAGGATCAGGCCACAGTGATACATCGTACAGTTTATCTCCAGGTACGCCTAATTTTGATAACCAGCTGTTGCTGCGTCAGCACCCTCAAAATAGTTTTCCCTGTGAATAACAGTGCCAGAAACTCAGTTTTTACAATTAATTTCTAAAGCATTCTCAAATCATGGCTAGAAAAATAGATGTTTTGGGGGTGGCTGGGTGACAGTGGTCTTTTCAAAGTCATTGTGCTACGTAACTGGAACAGAGTCATGGGAGTCATACCCAGGAAATAAGTTTAGATTTATGTCTTCAGTTTTCTAAGCCAAACTTCTTACAGCATTTCACAAGATGCATGGGAAGAGGGGATAAAAAAATAAAATTGTACTTGCAGTAAGTGGGAGCAGGAAT